AAGATCAGAAACCTTTTACCATCGAACCGGGCCAGCTCCAGCTCGCCGCACGACTCGTGGCACGTGCTCCGCACGGCTGTTTGCAGGCGTCTGGCAAGGCTGCAGGTGCCAGCACCAGCAGTAGTAATTTGGCACGCAGGGGCACCCGGCCCGCTTGCATGCATGCGCTGCGTGCAAGCCATAGCTTCTTCTATCTTCTTCTACTTGCGAGGAGCTTCCTGCAGCCACTCCGCCACTCCGCAAGCCTAGGTTCTTGTCGGCTCTGACGTTCTCGAACCTCACTATGCCGACGTTCGTGCTCCCGCAGGTTGCGCAGCTGTCCAAGAACGGCCCTTCGGACGATTTAAGACCAATGGTTTGCAGGGCGTGTTTTGGGCATCGGCAATGGCCGTGGCAAGGCCTTCAGAAGCTCTTCGCCGCCTTGACGGGCATTTCGCTCCTGCAGAAGGCTTGGAGCTTTGAGAAGCGGCAGCCCTGGCACCAGCTTGCCCGTTGCAGGTCTCTTACTCGGAGACTTCCCGCTTCCACAGCAGCAAGGAGCACCCGGTACCTCGGCTGAGAGTGCGGACGCAAGCGGCCTCTGTGCAGTTTCGGCAGTTGCGCTCCTGCGGCACCCCGAGATGGCCTGAGGTCAACGGACAGGTGATGCACCCTCTGATCTGGAACCTGACCCGCTTCCACCCCTTCTGGGCGCTGATCGAGATGACGATGGGCATCGTCGCGGCCAGGCACGTCATGCTGGACACGGAGGAGGACAAGAAGAAGCCGACCACGCCGCTGGAGCTCAAGTCAAGCTTTGAAGCGGGCGCCAAGCAGTCATCGAGTCATTTTGATATAGAACCCAATCTGCCCCCGCGCTTTCTCAAGGAATCCTCTTTGGATGTTCTTGGCTGCTTACGCTTCTCTTGGCCTCCGGCTGACCCAGTTTGATTTCAACGCGAAGCACTGAGAACCCAGGAGTCCGCACGACATTGGCCTACGTTACAGTATGTTACAGAGGATCAGTAGGCCTTTATGAACGGGCTAAGGATGCCATCATCCGCGGCGTTCTCTTCGTGCCGCTCTTTACCAAGTTCTTGACGCAGATGCATCGGGACGCGCTGACAGCGAATCCCGCCTGCCGGCTTGAAGCGAGACAGATGGCATAACATGTCTGCACTTGCTGCATGTGTTTCTCTGCTGAGGCTCCAATTACCAAGTTCTTTGGCTCCAAGCCGATGGCCACCCTCGGTTCCATCGCCTTCCCGATGTTCATTCTGCATCTTGCCTTTGTTTCTGCGTTGTCCGTTCCTGAGCTGCAAGCGGTGCTTGACGCTGCTTCGTATCAAGGCACGGACCGATTGGCCAGATCTTCTACAAGAAGGTGCAACTGTACTAGCGTTGCGCGTTACCAGACGCATACGCAGTTGCAGGTGCTCGCGAAAAAGTTGTGGGGCGGGCCCATGTCCACGAGATTCTTCCCGCTGCCAAGCCGCAAACAGCCAAGCTGGCGTGGCAACTAGGCATGGGTTCGATGAGAGATACATTCGTGTTGACATGGGCAGGATTTATCTCGCCATCTGCCTTGGCATGAGCCACCTCACCAACGATGCTCGGAGTCTGACAGACATTGTAGGTCCAGAGGATGATGCACCAGTCCGACAGCAAGCCATGGCATGATCGCCATAGCACGAGGTTTTTCAGATGCCTTTCCTGATTCCTCTGGCGTGAGTAGCCAGAGACTCATCACGTGCAGTGCCACATCTTGTGTACGGCTTTGAGGAATACTTCGTGAAGAACAAGAAGGTGGGCGCCATTGCCGGAAAGGTGGCCCAAGTTTTGGCGAGCTGGACTGAGGGCATGTTGCGCGATCGTGAGTAGGTTTCTGAAGGTTGAAATTTCTTAATCACTGCGAGAAATGCTGAGCACGAGGAACAGGGGGCTCAAAGCCGTACTGATGCTCGTGCAAGGCAGCACCGGCACAAAGGTAGGTCCATGTCGTTCCGAAGATTTGGCAGATGCCAAGTTTGGATCAATCGTGCCTCGCATTTGGCCCCGGTTCACACCGGGAGTTTGTACAGGCAAGCAAGTTCATTCCTCATACCTGGAGCAACATCTGGTTCCAGACCGTGACCAAGCACGTTCTGTGAGTTCCGGCAAAGACCTGCAGCGGCACATTCGTGCGATTTCCATGTGTGATGCCAGGGCAGACTCGGAATCGAGTCATGATGTGAAGCCTTCTGAGGTGTAGCAGCAGATCCGACGATGTGAACGATCGGATCCAAAGATCCTGGCCATGCTGTCCGGACGTTGCCGCAGATGGCTTCCAGAGCATGGACTAGACATGTGCAGGCTTTGATCGCATGCCGCATGGCATAGCTGACCATGCTATGGTCCACCGACGGGCCAAGCACCACATGCAGATACGGCTACCACTGTCTTCGTGCCGACTGCTGGTTCTTGCATCCCGAGGTGGAGCCGGATCAGGGATGTCCCGAATCCATTAAAGGCCTAGCACCTAGCTAGGATTGAGGGGTGCCGACAACACTGTTTGAGGGATAGTTTATGTGGCACTCGGCCTCTATCGCCGAATCGCAGGACGATTTGGCGAGCTGAGAGAATGTTTTCCACGTAAATCTGGGCCGCAGGATAGTTTTTCCGCACGCAGCCTCAGTTTTGCCACAAGTTTTTCCGCAGCCCTCAACGGGGTGAAGCTGCGAAGCTGCGAGTTTGCCGGACGCGTCACTCGTGGCACAGGTGTCACGGCCGGAGGCGGTTTCGCTTCACATTGAGAACCTTTGTGACATGCGATCTGGGCAAGGGTTTGGGGTTTGGGGAGCACAACGGATTTGGGGTTTTGAAACAGGGTTACGGGTTAGGGTTTTTGGTGTAGCGATTGCCGTGTTTTAGGGTTTAGGCTTTCGCGGGGCCCCCCCCCAGGCCTGAGCCGCGTCACGTGACACCTGTGCTGGGGCCTGACACAGGCAGCTTCGCTTCACTATCGCTCGCAGCTTGGATCCCACTTTGTGGAGCTGTGGAAAAGTTGTGGAACGACTTTGTGCCGACTCGGGAAAAATCGTGCAACAACTTCGGAGGCTTTCGACACATTTTAAATACACGTTTTCCACACAAGCACGTTCCCAAACTTGCCGGAAGCATGGAAATGTCATGCAGTCGACCTCGAAAACATTGCATCCTACACGGAAACGCCAGGGGGGCGGGGGGGGGGGGTAACTGGACAATTGCATGTCCAGGGCATGGAACACGAGCCTTGGGCGTTGCAGGAAGAAGGGCCAGGCATGCAGGAGGAGGACCTGCGCTCTAAGACTTTGCTTGGAGGTTCAGGGATGGTTATAAGTAGGGTTATAAACCCCGTATTATGGGTAGTAAGTATAGTTACCCTACTTGTAACCCTACTTATAACTACCTACGAACCTCCACGTAAGGGAAGGCGCATCGACGCTGCGGCCCGAGCTGTGCCGGGCCAGTGGACGCAGCATGCTGGTCCACGGCAGAAGAATGCACAGGCTCGTCTTCGCATGGGATGTTCTGCTGCGGACAACTTAGGGCAGGTGATGCATGGAGGAGTTGGCTGTGCTAGTGCTGCATGAGGTCGTTATCCTTCGACGCAGTCTCGGCAATTTGTATGCTCTGCTGCAGTTGCGGAGCTTTGCTATGCCGGTCCGAAGCTTGGTGAAGATGTGATGGACCGGCATGCATTGAGTGAAGTTGCAATTTAGTTTTTCTTGGGTGCGGTCCAGGTCATGCCTGGTCATCTCGCAACTGTGGGTGGCATGCGTGATGCCGCGGATCGGGATAGCTCCATCACAGCGGTGAGAGAGGCCAGGCCTCCATGCCCCAAATCAGGCCCAGGATGCGTGCGCCTTATGTGAATCTCAGACCTAAATTTTCCCAGGCATTCCCAGACCCCACACTTGGGAGCCACCGAAGCAACTGAAGCAGCATCACATGCCGCAGGAATCTGCCACAGAAAGCATCGAGAAATGTGGGTGAAGACCCGATTCATTTTGTGCTTACCATGCTCAGGCCATATCAAGCACCTCGTGCCGTGGCTCAGGTCATAAGCACGAAGTCAAAAATGAAAATCGGACTGTTGAGCGTTTACTGTAATCTTGGAAACGAAAGAAACTGTAGCCCAAATGTCCATCGAGAGACAGGCGGGACTTGACAAGCCTGCCAGTGCTGATACCCTCTGATGCCCATGGTTGTGTCGCAGGTCTTTGAAGAATGCGGACTTCTTGACGTGGGGCTTGTGCCACAAGCACCGCACAATCTACGACAGCATGCCCAGGGATCAGGATGGCCCGGTGGGAATCAGCATGAGCTTCGCATCACCCCGTATCTCATGCTACTCGTAGTAGGAGCCCGACAGCCCAAGCACTTCTCCAAGCGTGCTTCTGAGATGTTCTGAGGCGTGCTTTGTGTCTGTGAGTTGTGTTGCGACAGGGTTTTGTAGAGACCAAGGTTCGGGGAAGGCAAGGAGGTCGACTGGTGGGTTCTGCTGCTTGATGGCCCCGGGATGTTCGAAGATTCGATGGATGGAGAGGCGGAGTGCGAAGACATTTCTCGAGCCCTTCCTCGCCTGCCCGGTGCGGAAGCTGCAGAGTGCTTTGGGCACGCATGGGTCCCAACCTGGAGACTGCACGAGATTGCCGGCTTGCCGCTGATGGGCGGGCTGCTTCGGAGGGTCTCGGACGCGGTGGCAGCCGTTTCTCACATCCTCCCTTAGGCCTTCCCCGCCGTAGGGTGAAGCAGCGTGAGTGCGCCGGAGAAAAGATCGTGACGCTGGGCAGAACGGCAGAGCAGGTTCTGTAGTGAAAAGCCCACATCAGGCATTTGTGAAGGCTGTCTGACAATAGCTTTGGCTCCACAAGCCCATTATTCAGTTCAGTTCTCATGTCAGGGATGCCATGCACGGATTGGCAACTTGTTGTGGGTGGGATACCACGGTTTCAAATTGATTGCTTTCTACGCTGTCTAAGTCTAGAGCCTGAGTCTAAGTAAGCCCTACAGCCCACGCACACAGCGGCTCGTAGCTAGTCCTCCAGGGATGTCGGCAGCCAAGCGTTTGGAGACGCATCCCGCTTGCAGTGTGTGGCTCTCCATTGCTCCAGGTATGGCTGGGGCAGGTGGAGTTGGACGCTCTAATTCTTTTTTCGGGTATTCGTAGCCTGCTCGGCTACCCCATCCCAGACCCAAGGGAAGCTTGCGCCAGTCGAAATCCTTCCCATACTTTCAGCGAACTGTGGCAGACCTGGGAGAGTTGATCGAACTAGCCGAGGCCAGGAATGAGGTCTGCTGGAGCTTCAGATTTTGCTGCTCATGTGGCATCAGAATGGCAGTGGGCGAAACCCACAAGGGCTGCAAACAGCGCCGCCATGGCGCATGAGCGCAACGAGCTCCCCACAGAAGCAGGCTGTCTTGCTCTAGAGGGTCGTCCCATCCAATGTATCAATCTTCTTTTTGCTGACTCAGTGGAGTGGGGCAACCCTCTGTCACAGCGTTGCGGCTTTGATGAAGTTTAGTCACATCGTGAGAGATGAGGGCGTTTGACGGGGCCCACTTAAAGCACGGCAGGCTGCGGATCCGGTGGCTGCTGAAGTCTTTGCGAACAGCAAGGTTGATGCAAACGTAGAGCCTTGGCTTGCCTCCTTTCGATGGGTTCGGTGACTGTCGCTTTGCAGGGCCTGTGTGTCACGTCTTCAGGATGCTCTGTCGCATGCCGAGATCAAACGCTGCCTGGAGGACGTTGCAGTGTGGCGATCTGAACTTTGCTAGAAAGGCCATGTGATGGAGGCGTAGCATGAATGTGCCCGGGCGATTGATTGAACAGGCATGGTTGTCGATGGCAGATTGGCAGTCAGTTGCGAAGTAGTGCTAAGTATGCATATCATGCATGGACACCCGCCTTGATACTGCAATCCTACCCGTTATTGCAGAATTCTGCTGTCGCACTTGCCGTTGGAGCTGCTGGGAGCCTTTATTCAACAGATGCGATCTCGCTGACACTGCCATCCCAATTCATTAGCAAGCAAAGCGTCAAACACAGCTTCAAAGCTGCCATCGTTTCTCAGGAGTATGGTGTGACTGACTACGCCTCTGGTGTGAAGCTGTTTAGCTCCAAAGAGCATCTGCGAGATGTGGAAGCTCTCTTGCCGTTGGTTGGCACGTGGGCTCGCACCTTAGAGAGGCCGAAAGCCACGAACAAGAGCATCAAGAGCCAACATGCAGCACCTGACCATGGCCCAGGAACAGGCCAAGAATCGACGACAGTATACGATCCGCTTGACCAAAGAAGGAAAGCTTTCATGGGAAGGCCTGCACATCACCGGCGAACCCTTGCTTGGCGAAGCTCAGCCCGCAGCTGACCTCCCCTAATATCTGCAGAGCTTATGAGATGCAGGGACGTCATCTATGAGTGAGTGAGCATGGAAAGAGTCAGGAGTCATTCTGAGCAATTGCAGCAGCTTTCGCTGTCATCGGTTGCCCTGACTTGTTCCGGGCAGCCAAGGCCATGTACTTCGAGGGCATGTGGATCCGCAGCGAGCTCTACACACATGGAGAGGTCTTCATCGGTTCTGTCCGATTGCGCCACGGGCCCGACTGGAGCCTGAGAAGCAGAGACAGAATCAAACACCATGACTCGGCCGCAGAAGGACAAGCTTGGGTCCGGTCCGGATCGTGTTTCTGAGTATGATCAGGAACGAGCTGAGCCTCAACTTCAAGACGAGCTCAAGTGCTCACTGGGGCGTTGATCTTCGAGCGATGCGTGCTACAGCTGCAGCAAGACCACATTCTGGTTGCACTTCTTGGAAGGTTTGAAAAGCTTGCATGGTCAGTAGCTTTGTTGAACTCATGAAACTGTGACTCCCAGATCTCGGAATCGTGAGTGTCAGTGGTATCCACGGCGTCCATGTTGAGGGCAGGCAGTCTTTCTCACCAGAGCCGAGGTGCCACTTCCGAGCACCTCATCTTTCGGCCACTGCTCAGTGATCCCTATCCGGGACGGCTTGGCTGGAACTCTGGCTCTGCACTGCAGGCACATGGGAGTTTCCGAAAATAGGGGACCCTAATATATAGTACCCTAAATAGTAGAATCCTTACTATAAGGACCCCCCAAAATAGGGTACCCCAATTTTGGAAACTCCCACATGGGAAATGGTTTCCAGTTCTTTCTGTGCACCGCTGTGCACGGGCGCGCAGTGCAGGCCCTGAGCACCTCGACCCCGAGCGTGGCAGATGACGACTTGGGTGATTTGACCGCCGATGAGCTGAAGGAGTGCTTGAAGGAGCATCCAAAATCCAGAGCCTGGGTGGGAAGGTGGGCATCGAAGATATGGTCGAGGTGATAGGTAGTAAGGTGCAGCTGCGCGTCTTCTGCCCAGACTGACCAGCATCTCCAGCCGAAGCCGGAGAGACTCAAGTGATTCGGGAGCCCTTTCTTCACGCTTCTGCACGTTCTTCTTGAGCGGATGTTGTGTTCTGCAGGAGTACGGTGTCAGCCAGCAAGGGCGATGCTGCAATCAAAAGGGGTTGCTCCTAGATGCCTGGCAGGAAGATCAAGTAATTACGAAATTGCAGACAGTGTGTCTGTGGCACCGCTTCTCCTACTGCTACCGCTACTGCTACTGCTTGTTACTGCTACTGACGACGACGACTACTTCTACTCCTACCTACTACGACTGCTACGACTACGACTACTACGACTTGCACGACGATCAACTACGGCCACGTCTACTACAGTACCCTTATTGACATGCTACAAGCACAACAATCCGTGTCCTCAGAGTTCAGGAACTGGTCCGCAGGATCGAGATGGCACTGCCTCTTCTGGGAAAATGGGTGTGCCTCGCCTACTTTGCAGACTGTGTTTGAAAGTCGCGACTTCGGCGGTGACCATGATGCCGTGGATTGTTGGTGGATTCCTTTCTCAGAGGTTGCCGAGGTTTCACGCAGTTCTTGAGATTGACATTCTGCCGGATGCTGCAAGAGTTGAGCGGAGTTGGGAGGACAGAGCCCAGGTATGGGAAGCAGCCGGCTCGCAAAAACTATGAGATCAAGCTCTTGCAGAACGGCGCTTTGAGATGGGAAGGCCCCCACTCGAGAGGCGGGGCTCGGAGAAGTATCGGCGACACGTCAACTTCCCTCTGCAGCTCTGCGGCAGGCGGCATGCTGTCCGGCCTTCTCGAGGAAGACGAGGATGGCTGGTACTTTGCACACCTGCTAACGGGCCAGAACGAGCCCATCGGCTTCGGGGCTCAGCTACATCCGGAAAGGTCCTACATGGGCTTCTTTTACTCACAGATCCGATTACGTGAGGCTCCATCCGTGTGCGCCAGCATGCCACCAGAAGAGATGCAATTATTTCGAACTTTCGCTCTTCGGCAGCATCCTTCTCATGTAGCGCCGCACCGGCAGAACCCAACCTCCCCAGAATCTCCAAGAAGCAAACAGAATGTTGGCCCTGGTGGGCCTGCAGCCCTCAAGGCAGCCATTCGATGGGCGAGTGGGGAAGCAACATCGCTTCTTCTTGGCAACCAGATCACCGCCTTTCCGTTGAAACGCTGCATGACTTCGCTGAAACAAGGTTGCAGAGCGAGAGAGTGAGGAGCAGCCACGTCGAAGACCAGTCTTTGAGGCGGGCAGCACATGCCGCGAGCAAACGCAGTTTAGATGGACTCCATGTTGAGCATATGTACATACATATATCTATGTATGGTATATACGGTGTGTGTATATATATATATATATATGTATATGTATATATTTATGGTATATGTATAGAGTATATACAGTATATATCTAGAGTTCATGTAGGCGGGCGTTTCCCAGGCACCAGCACCCGAAGAATCGCTGCCAATCGGCCCGGCTGGAGACATGGGCACGGCCGAGGCAGCCGGGAGCTCTGAAGCTGGCCCGAAGTCGGCCTATGCCGGCCGTAACAGGAACCGACATATTAGGAACTCACAAATAACGCTTGCATTTGAGCTTCCGGCTATTCAAAAATAAATTGGGAGAGAGCTGATTTTTGTGCTGCCTGAATGGAGGTGAAGCTTGCCCTGAAAGGGTGGCCCAGCTGCTGTCGGAGGCCCCGGATCGGCAAGGCAAAGCATGAATTGAGCTATTCCAGGTATGGCGTCACCAAGCTGGAGCGCTACGAGAGCAGGGAGCAGTTGGTGGATCTCTTGGAAACAGTTGTGACTTGGTTAACCCACGGTCGGTCAAGGCCCCGGCTTTGAGTGGCCATTCACCTGCACGTCTAAGGAGAGCTCCCTTCCTTTGATAGGAACTTGGGAGCAAGAGCGAAACAGAAAGCAGTACGAGATCCAGCATACCGAGGATGGGCAACTGCTTCTCGTCAGCAGGGGCTGATCCTATCCAAGACATACGGACGATGAAATAAATCCTGCATTACCTTAATGACTATGGGAATGATGGTATTTGGCTTATTATAGGAATGGGAACTCACTCCTTGTAGGCTCTACGAGGGTCCACACATCCTCGGCGGCACATTGGTCGGAGTGCTCTACGAGGAGGAGGGCTGGCTGAGAGCAGAGCTGCTGATGCGCAGACGCACGAAGAAGTGTCATTGATTTCTTCTTGGCCCCAGTGCATCTCAGCTGTTCAAGGTACGTTTCCAGATAGAGCAAACTTAGGACATGCAAGGAAGAGTCCGAGCTCGTCGGTTCCGTGCGAGTCACGCATGGTCCAGCTCCCCATCTCAAGAGC